CCTGTGTGGCTTTTGACTTGGGTGGCCGAGCTGGTGGTGGTCGATTTGGGACAATTGACCCGCTAATTGACAAGTTGACTCACGTAATGCGGCCCCGCCAGCAGCTGTCTTCTCGTAATAGTGATCGCGTCAAATCGTCACGGGGGAGGTCCTCGAAGATGCCAGGCGGCAGGGCTGCGGCGATTGATAGCGCATCCTCAGGTGATGGAGTCGGCAGGGCTGCGTCTGCCAGCGGTGCGGGCAGCAACGCGACGGTCTCATCTTCCTCCTCTGGCAGCGCGACAAATTTGTCGCGCTGTCGCCCCGCCTGACCGATGGGATGCCCAATCGCGACGGGTCCCGTCACGCGCTGCCGCGTGCCGGAAGGGAAACGGCGGTCTCTCAACGGCGAGGTCGCTCCGATGCGTCTACTGAGGCTTTGGCCGGTAAATTGCTGCGGAGGAGCGCTTTGCTGCCGGCCGCTTTGTAAAGGTGCGAGCAGCGGTCCACCGTACTGCCCATATTGCTCCCGCTTCCTGCCATGCATTGTAAATGATGACATCGTGCTACATGTAAAATTTCACTGGGGATTTGTAGGTGGTGGTAACCTCGTTAGTAGTTGACGAGACAAAAGTAAGGAAGAAGGGATTTTTGAGCATTCGTTGGTAGCACAAAGATTAAATTCTCACAGTTTGAGCGCTGCAACTGGGAAAGGCAGCAAGACTTGTAATCGTGCGTCTCGGCATCACGGTCTCGTACAGTACTGGGTGACTATTGAAAGCAACTCGTGTTTTCGGCAAGAGAGCTGCTGGGCTGAGTCTGATGCACCACTCTATTGCATCACAGTTTTTGTGGAGGCCAAACGGTCGCAGTCTGTCGACAACCATGACCAACAGTTTAACCCGAGCCACGCCAAAATAGTAAGTTGCCCTGCACCTACGATGGAAAAATCTCACGTTGCCATTTCCGAAAGACATAACGCTCATCTCTGCGATGATCTGGGCAGATAGGAAAATTCTGGCGCTTTCTCGTCCTTCGCGGAGACCGCAGCAAAAAAAGCGTATCATGGCTTGCCCAGGCAAGACCTGTGCAGCTCCTGGTGCATTTTTTTGTTGTTCGGGACTTTGTTTGTAACCAGGGACGCCAAAGAGAGCGCGGCACGTGCTGGCGGTACCATAGGAAAAGACAGGACGCGAATGCGAAACCTTAGTACCAAGATGGACAAATGGCATACACTTTTCGATTGATAGGAACGTCACGAACCACCATGAAGAATCCCACCGTATCCTCCGCTCCGGCTGCAATGTCGCGAGTTAAGAAACGTCACGGATGCCCTTGCACCCGTACCACCACGCACCAGCACTACAACCGACGACCAACCTGCCACAACACAACATAACCATGCACGTATGCACCTGCGTTTGGCTTGGCTTCCGGGCTGTGAAGTTGCAAATGCCAGACCCGGGGGTCGAGGTGACGGTGGTGATAGTGGGAGCCAAAAGCTGATGAAAACAGGTGCAAAAAGGAGGAGGAAGCGGGCCGGGAATCATACAGATATATGGCGGCGGATGGTGATGATGGTGACATGATGCATGTACGGCTTTATATTTCAGTTTGGGGTGGTGTGCCGTTGGACGAAGTGGCCTCACCTAAATATACCAAAACATGCAAGACACTACAAAAACTCTCCGAGGTGGTGAATGCCACCAAGTTTCAGGTGGCAAAGCTTAGGTGGCCCTGAAAGGAGGCGGAGAAGGAGGTGAGGGCGCCATCGTGCGCCCACTGTCTTATGCTCTTACCTTTTGCGTTAATGCATTGACAATATGATAACATGACAAACATTTCGGACTAACAGAGTTCCAGGCTACCATTACGGAAATTTAAGTTCCCTGTGTTGGTTAGATTCCGTTATAGGTACTGGTTGATCTTGTTGCCACAAGTCTTACAAAGTTGAGGAAACGCTATGCTATGCCTACGGTGTTTTCATGAGGAAAAGGATTCGAGACCGTAGCCAAACATGCAACTTTCCTTCGAGCTTTATAGCGGCGGCTTCCTTCGACCGTCCGCTAAGTTGCCACCGTCCCTATGTCCCAGGCGCACAGCTCAATTAATGCTTGAACGCTCAGTCTTATGTGCGAGATGTGCACCGGATGTCGCGGAGCCGCAGCCAGAAGCTTCCGCAAGCAATTCAATTCACAGCGGCGAGCTTCGGACACGGCGGCGTTTGGTGCGACCACGCACCACGGTGAAAAACCCCAAATGGCCAGCAGAGCCGGAATCAAACGTGGCAGCGGCTGGGCAGGCAGAGCTTGAGCCAAAGCGGAGTCGTCGTTCTGCAGTGGCATCAGCAAGCAAGTCGACGAAAAGCGAGCAGCTGGTGCAGGAAAAAGAGGCTTTTGGACCAACCATATTGAACGAGTCGAGTCCATTTTACCAGCCCGCGTTGACGGACGAAGACTTGGAGCAGGACCCGCCGGGCCATCGCTCGGGCTACGTGGCCGTCATCGGCAAGCCCAACGCCGGCAAATCAACGCTGATTAACGCTCTGGTGGGGCAGAAGCTATCCATAGTTACATATAAGCCACAGACAACGCGACACCGTATCATGGGCATCGCGTCCGACAAGCATTACCAAATGATCCTTTTTGATACGCCCGGTGTTATCGAGCGCAAACGGACAAAGCTCGAGGAACGCATGATGGCTGCTGTCGTGCATTCTATCAAGGACTCTGAGGCCATCGTCGCGGTTGTCGATTCGGCCGACAAGCCCAAAGAAGCCTTGGCCATGTTCCAGCCCGGCGAAAGCTGGAACGGTCCACCCATGGCTGTGCTGCTCAACAAAGCTGACTTGCTAACCGAGGATGAAATACAGGAACTGAAAACCTGGTACACTGAGAACTGCAGGGCGGAGCAGGTAGGTTGTGAGGGAGAGTTGCAAAAAGATGGAGAGTACACGTGAGGCCGTACATCCCCATACATACATACATATTTTATACATTTCATACGCCTCGATCCGATACAGGGTGCCTTTGTTGGAGCCTTTTGGTGTGGTGATACGTACGGCCTACACCACGTCTCATACAGTTCATTCATCCGCCACCTCCACACGCACACATATCCCCCGCTGCGATGTGAGGTTACCGATGTCCCCCGCTCCGCTGCAATAAACACACACATCCCCTTTCCCCCCCGCGGCGCTGTGTGCTGCACGAATCGGAAGTCACGGAGACAACACATACACATAAACGCACACGCGCGGTTCAGTTCCTTAGAACACACATACACACACACACACACACACAACCTCACACACATTCACGCACGCCCTCCCCCCTCCCCAGTACACTCTTGCCCTGGCAGCAGCTTCACTCGTTTGTGGTTCGTCTTTCCCCCCGCGCCCTCCCCCCCGCCCTCCCTCACGCCCTCCCCGCTTCCCCCTCCCCGCTTCCCCAGGTATTTGTCGGATCAGCCGAGCGGCGGGATGGGTTGGAGGCGCTGCGGGAGTGGGCGGTGTCTCGACTGCCGGAGGGCCCTACGTTGTACTCCAAGGTGGGGCTGTGGGTGGTAGGTGGGCGGATCAGGCGGGGGGAGTGTGCGGAAGGGCAGGAAGTGGAGGTTCTTACTGTGTATGTATGTATGTATGTATGTGTAAAGAGGGAGCCTGGCCCTTCAGCTGTGTGTTTGCGTTGTGTCGGGGCCACGTTTGTAATATGTATGTATGTATGTATGTATGCGTGCCAATAACACCCCAACGGCCGGCTATAGTAGTACAAGGCGGGAAGTGCAGCCACACACCCCCCGAAATGACCCCCGAAAATCTGAATGCTAACAGACAACCTTCCCACCCGTTTATGAAGAGAACCTGAACCCCCGCCCCACACCTTCCTCCTCCCCCTCCTCCCCCCCCCCTTACCGTCCTCCCCCAAGAAAATCGTTTCGGAGCAACCTGAGAGGTTCTTCGTGGCGGAGTGCATCCGAGAACAGGTGTGCGTGTGTGTTTTTATTCCCCGTCCTGATTCCCCTCCCGCTCCCACCCCCTCCCTCCCTCCCCCCTTCCCCGCTACCAACCGAATCTCCTTCGCGGATTTTCCATGAACACATTTCTCAAAGTGAAGCAACTGGGTATCGAAGGGGGCTGGGTACAATGATTATAACGATATGTATGTATGCATGTATGTGTACTGTCCGGACGCTTCTAGCACTTGCTGCTGCGTTGTTGGTGACCCCGGCGGGTTGTGGGGTGGGGTGCGGGGGTGGAAACATTCACTCGCGAGTGTTCGGGTCCTCCCCGGGTTTTAGGGTTTTATTCAAGTCGTGAACATACAAGTTGCTTTTCTTATTGTTCTTAAAAAAACCCCTCCCAATCCCTCCCTGCCACCCCATGGCCGGCCTCATACCGCGCGTGCCAGGTGTTTTTGCACTGCCAACAGGAGGTGCCGTACTGCTCCCAGGTACGACACTCCGTGTAAACACGGTGTTTTGCATGTGTTAGGGCGTGTGACGATAGGATGGCTCACACAAGGGCAAGTGTTTTTCCGAAGTTAGCTCGTTAGTCTAACTGGAGTGAAATGGTTGAATTGAATTTGCTGAATTTCTGTGTATATATGTGTGTGTATGTGTGTGTGTCTCTGAATGAATGTATGTATATATGTATGTTTGGTCATTAAGAGCAAACAACCCCCCACCACCACCACATACCCCACGTTTCCGGATGCCGACTTGCGGGCCGCTGCGGGGTCTGGGGAGATAGACGTTCACAGGTCATGTATAACATACATATATACATACATACATACATACATACATGGGTCGGGAGCACGCAAGACTAATCGACTTGTGCTGTGTGCTCCCGACGCTTGCGCTGTGTTTCGGCTTCGGCCCCCGGCTCTCGCGGCCCACAGTGTAATCTAAGTCATACATACATACATACATACATACATACATACATACATACATACATACATACATACATACATACATACATACACACACACTCACAAACACAAACACACACACACGCCCCTAAACCCCTGAAGGTTCTGATAAAGGAGTTCACTGAGCGGCGTGGCGGCCTCAAGGACTTCATCAGCGCGGAGATAGTGGTGGAGAAGGAGAGTCAGAAGGGCATCCTGATCGGGGCGGGGGGGGCCATGCTGCGCCGTATCGGTCAGGAGGCGCGGCGGGAGATAGAGACGTTTCTGGAGCGCGGTGTGTACTTGGAGCTCTCGGTGCAGGTGCGGGGGGGTTGGTGCGCGGTGGTGGTGGTGGTGGTGGTGGGTGGTGGGTGGTGGGTGGGAAAGAAAGGAGGAGGAGGGGAAGGAGGATTCGGGACTTTATTATCTTCCTCTCCTCCCTTTCTATCTCTCTCCCGCCCTCCCCCGTCGCCCACCGTGATGGATGGATGGGCTTTACTTCCCTGCTAGGGGGGTCTTAGGGTCGATTTGGACTTCCGGCAGTTGGGGACTTCGGACGCCTTCCGACAGGCGGGCAGCAGTTCAATTCTGGTCCCTTTGCATCATATGGTTTTCCCCACACTGTACTCCCCCACCGCCTGAACGGTAAGCGGGTAGGTCCTGTAGCTACGGGGTTCCGGTCGCCACCCGCGTGTGGTGCGACACGACAAACACAGGGTAGGTCTCCCCCCTCCCCCCGGTGGGGGGGTCGGGGGGCCACAAGGCGCCCTTTCCAAGAAAGCAGGAGGCTGGATGACCTGCTGCGGACGAACGAAGGGGAAAGACATGGGGGATGTGGGGGGAGCAACAGCAGCAGTAGCAGCAGCAGCAGCAACAGTAGCAGCAACAGCAGCAGCAACAGCAGCAGCGACAGCAGCAGTAGCAGCAGCAGTAGCAACAGCAGCAACAGTAGCAGTAGCAACAGCAGTAGCAGCAGTAGCAGTAGTAGCAGCAGCAACAGCAGCAGTAGCAACAGCAGCAGCAGCAGCAGTAGCAGTAGTAGCAGCAGCAACAGCAGCAGTAGCAACAGCAGCACATCGACGGTAACGGGTTGACGTGCCCCCCAGCCACGCAGTGACTTCCTCCACGCCCACGGCGCTCATTTCATTTCCCCGCGACCCCTTTTGCCTTCCACAAAATTATTCCCATGTTCCGTGCCGCGGCTTGGTGCTGCTTGTGCCCCACGATGTGTACGGCACAACGCCCACGTGATGTACGGCACAACGCGCAGGTCGACAAGGACTGGCGGGACGACAAGGAGGCTCTGAACAAGTACGGCTACTTCAACCCCATGATGATCTAATCGGGAGATCGAGTCTCGAATTTGGATCTCGAATTGGATTTCGGATTTGGATCTGCTCCGCAGGATAACCCCGACCCCAGGATCGTAATCTGATTTTAATCTGGTTTCGGATCCGATATACGGCCTGATCAAATTTTTGGCTGAGGTCTGACACGCCTGTGAGATTTACGGTAGAGGCGGCGGCGGGATCTGTTCCGACACGTGATGGCAGTCGATCCAACAAATAAATAAAATATAAATTATAATGAAACACACACAGAGAAAAACCACAAGTTACCTCGGAATGCTCCTCGCCCGCTTTCGTGTCGCAGTCGGAAAGCTAAGCGGAGGGAAAGGGGGAGGGGAGGGGTTTGCGGCGCGAAAGAGGAAGGGATGGGGGTTCCCGATTAAATGCAAGGAAATCAGAAACGGAGGGGTGCTGGAGAGAGGGGTGGGGGTTGAGTCGTTAAGCGGGGGAAAGGTCGGTCCGGACAAGGCAGCCCGGGTGTCTGTGTGTGTCGAGCTCGCACCGCACCCTTATCCTGATTTGTCAAGTACCTATCTCTTTCGCGCACACGCACACTTCACAAAGGTGGCTCTTTCTTTGTGAGTGGCTGTTGTTTAGCCGGTGCTGCTTCTTCAGTGGCCTCTGGAGACGTGGAGGCTGAGGCAGATGGCCGCAATGGACGTGGGCATGCATCTTGCCTTTCTTGCGGGGGGGGCCTTATCTGCTCTCATCGCAATATTCGCTGTGTTCACTGTTACAATTCTGATGGATTTTCTGTGATTGGCAGGCATTTGGGTGTCTAGGTAGCAAAAACACACACGTGCGCCCGCGCGTGCGTGCACGTGTGTGTGCATGTGTGTAGCAAGGCTGGCGGCCAGCCCATGCTCAGGGCATAGCTCTGCGTATGATAGTAAGGAAAGCCCGCCGCAGCTCTTGGCGGTGACACATTACCTATTGGGTCAGATGGGCTGGCAGACGGGCGCGGGGTGCGGTGCCGCGGGGTACGGCGTGCGGTGGGGGGGAGGGCATGCAGGATTTTGTGTCCAGCAGTCCAGTATCATTCTTGGTGTGGTGCAGCCGTGTCCGCTGCCGGTTTGCCCCTCCCAACCTCCTCTCTCTCCCCCGCCCCACCCAAACACCCCCCAGCATAAGGTTGGCATCGCATGCGCGCGAGCACGTGGTTATAAAGCCCTAAACATCCCATTGAGCGAAAACACACGGGGCTGGTACGGGAGGCGATGTTGATTGGCGGACCGTCAGTGGGCCGTTGGCTGTGGAGTGAAAATATCCCGGAAGCTGCTCTCTGAAAGATATGCCTTGATTACGCAGGGGGGTGCACGGCAGGCGAGGATGCGGACCATGCTCAGGTTTCTCATAGAGAACGAGGATGCATGGATGTCGGTTGATGTCGGTTGTTATTGTTGCGCTTTACTCGTTTTTAGTTGCCTCTGTGCCGAGCTGCAGCCGAGTATGATGTCCGTGTGCTAGTGGACCTTTTGAGGGGAGGGGGAGGGGGAGGGGTTTAGGGTTTTAGGAGGGGGAGGGGGAAAGACGGACCACGAACCGAATGAAGCTGCTGCCAGGAGGAAAGAGTGTAAGGAAGAGAAGCAGGACTGACCAGTAGGCGTGGAGGGGGTGAGGAGGGGAGGGGAAGGTGGAGGCCACTGAGACGTGTGGAAAGGAGAGCTGTTATGTCGAACACCGTAGATGGGGGCTTAAGGGGGGCCCCCGCAGGGATTTAGGGCAAATGCCGGTTTCCGTTTCTGCGCATTGCGCGTGATGAAAAAGTAAGATGCCCCGGTAAGGGGAGTTATGACCGGTATGCGTGATATGGAAGGTAAGGTCCAGGATACAGCTTATGCACACGTCCAAAGCTGGCTTCAGATGGCCCAGCAGGGTTTGGCCAGGCCGAGTGCCCAGTGCTGCTAAGAAAGGAATCAGAGCTCCAACAGGGCAGACAACAAGAGCTGACCAGATGAGCTCGACCCAAATGGCGAAGAAGGAGAAGAAGTTAGCAGGGAAGGAAGAAAGGAAAGCAAAAGGCAATCGGAAGTGACGGAGGGGGAGGCGAGCAGAAAGGCGCTTTGGAAGGTGTCCGGAAAGCAGGCACCGGGGGAGGAAGCGGATTGGGGGCCACTGCTTGGCGGAACGCACCGCCGCAGCTGCTGCAGTTGCAGCAGCTGCCATGTACTTGCCACTTGGTCGAGGAGTATTTTTGTGCTTCGGCACTGGGCGGGGTGTGTGGGTGTTTTTTGCTGTGTCAATCAAGTGTGGGCTAGAGGACACCTTGGCCGCAGACAAGGACAAGGTTTCTGGGTTGAATCGGACTGAATGGCCCCGAGCTTGGTTAAGGAGGCCTCATCTGTGATGTGCTGCTCCAAGTGCAGTTTGCTGATCAACGTCAGCGGGGGAAGCGATCTGCTGGGTGTGGGCAAGGTGTGGGCTAGCGGTGGCAGGCTGGCTTGACCTACGGGCAATTTGCGTCTAGGATATTAGGAAGCCTGATGATTGACGAGAGTTACCATGCAGATCCTCCTTAAAGTTTGTGTGTTCGGAGGCCTCTCATTGACAGCACATCCCGCTTGCTGCCCACCGGTTTTGTGTTTGGCTGCGCACTAGAAATATAAGGCGCGCAAAACTGCCAGAAACCATTGCATATGTAAGCATATGTATCCGGGTCAGCGAAGTTGGGTTTCGGACCGCGATAACAAGAGGATAGGGCGAAGGACAACGTTACGATGACCTGCATTCCTCACACAACGACAGTAACTTGTGACGTAAATCCCTGTTATGCTTCCCGTTTTTAAAACTTAGGGAAACGTATGCATTGTTTAATCACAGTTGCACGGCGGCCTGAGGGTGGTTGCGTGTAATGCAACAATCGTCAGAAAGTTAGACTGCCGACACCACATTTGATCACATCTCTTTTCTTCGCCTCGGCTAACAACTACGTATGCGCTATTGCTCCCCCTTTTCAGCACATTTCTTTGTGTACACTGAACCACGTTCGCGTGCCGCTACTGTGTAAGGCAAGCATCCCAGTTTTTCAGCTGCTTTTGGCAGGCATCATATAATTTCAGTTCTTCCAAGTGGTCTGCCTTTTTGGCGCCTGGCTGTTTAGGGAAAGCTCTGCAAAATGCCGCCCAAAGGTCAGAAGGCTGAGGTCGAAACGTACTCAACTGGTAACCGGCTGACTGTTGGATCATTCTTAGGGAGCGATGATATGCATGACGACGAAGATGTTGACGTGTGCGACGGTGAAATACTGGTACGTTGCGATTGCGGGAGGGCGGGCATTGCTGCAGCGTTTGACGCCTCGCCCTGCGTCCGTAGGACGGGGACGAGGATGACATCGATATCGTAGATGACGGAAGCAAGCTGAGCGATGAATCACGGCGATTCGACTGTATTGTTGGGGCCCTTGAAGGTGAGCTTCATTTCCCCAACTAGAGAGGACGCAGCTGACTTAGGTTATCCCTCTTGCAGACGTTTTAATGGATCCCGAATTTGAGGAGCTTCGGGAGGGCTTTTGCCGCGAGAATTGCCACCACTTCGAGGTGCGCACCGATGGACTCAACCGCGCCCGCGGCACTTCCGTCACGACGAGCCCGCTTCGCCGCTCGCAGGATACGGACGAAAACAAGCTCATCTACACCGACATTTTCACCAAGTACACAGAGCTTGTGGAGAGCACTATTGACCAAAAGCTCAAGCAGGCGGTCCCAGGGTTCAGCATGCAGGAGTTCATGTTGCTGCTGGAGTCGCACAAGGACCACCTCATGTCCGAGGTGTTCGAACTGCTTCTCTCCTTAGCAGACTTCGAGGCGTTTAAGGAGGTCATGCTGTCTTACAAGCGCGACGCAAGCGAGGGCCCAGCCTTCCAAATCAACTGCACACCGCTACGAGTATATGTCGAGGTACGCGACGGCAATCCTGTGCTGGCTCCCTGGCGCAATGCTTACCTGACTATCCTGCTTGGGTAGATGGTGTGGACGACAGCCGGTAGCTGTCACGCAACGATTTAGGCCGTATTTCCGTCCAAGCACACCGAGTTTCCAACGTCCATTTACCAGCACAGCGAACATAGAATGACATCATGTGAGACGGCCTAAGCATCGGCTGCGTTTCATGGATTAGAGAGCTTGGCCGTTTCCTATTCGTATGCGTTGCACCGATCGCGAAGCTTGTAGGTTTTCCAGGAGATTTGCTGTAACCGAACCCTTATGGTGAGGATTTACCACCCTGTTTCTCATTCTGTATGCGCAGCTCCATTCTTCAGCTTGCACACGGGCGGTTGGCTTTGTGTTTTGGGTAAAGGCTAAATCTTGCACCAGGGTACGGAGCATATTGCTAGGCCCATCCATACATATGAACCGTGTCATCTTCTAGCACGGATTGCTGGACACCCCCATCACCATCCCCACCCCCCCATGCTGCAAGCCTTGCTCAGCCTCGCGCGTTGTTTTCTCACTTTGCAGGAGCAAGAGGATGGTGACGAGCGCCCGGACCTGGACCTAAGCCTCCAAATATCCCCTATCGGCGCGGGCCCCAAGGCCAAGCGGTAATCCACACCTGCTTCGCCGCACGGCGGTAGCTTCGGGGCGGGATGCTGTAATTGGGGGCGCAGCGTGCGATCTGTTTTCCCCTTTACGGGAGTGTGCCCTGTACGAGGCTCGAATAAGGTTGCAGCGACGGTGCTGGGGAAAGCGGCTCCCTCTGAATAGACAACTCCTCTGGATAGACGACAGCTGCGTGCGTATGGGCGAGAGGGGTGGCCGCCATAGAGGTCTTCAGGTGTGGGAAAGAGGAGAAAGCGCACGGAGGCCGCGGCTACAGTGGCTTGCCAAATGGGTTGTGGCGCAAAGTTGAATGCAAAGAGATGCAAAATGCCCTCCATTCAGCAGTTTGTATTCCCGGCCCCAAGCCAACGCGGAATGAAGCCCCGGGGAGGTTCAAAGATTGTCTGATGGGAGCCGGAGGTGCACAAGGAGATACGCTTTGGTGTGCATGTATGTGCGTATGTATGTATGTATGTATGTATGTATTTACGTACGTGCATGTCCTTAGGGTATTGACCTGAAGGGGGTGTGGCAACGGGATTTTACTGTTGCGGTTGCGGCCCATTCTTGCGGCGCGTACATGCACTTATCGAGCTGCAAACAGCCCATGAATTGCGTATATGGCATACATGCTGGGAAGCAGCACTTGGTGTGCTGGATTTCCTTGTGGGGGCGCGTAGATTATTGTTTCTGACGTTGCGCTGCGCTGCGCTGCTGCGCTGGCATTTTAGAGGTGTGCGAACCGCTTCCGCGCTTCCTTTACCCATAAAAAATTCCTTGGGTCCATTGACCCTAGCCGCTGGTCTGCGCTTGTGCCAGGCGCTGGGTTGGTGCCGCGGCTGCCAGGGCTATGTCGATGGCACAGGTAGCCCAGCCCGGCACCGTAATCCCTACTGACGGTGCGGCATTTCTCCACATTGGCAACGCAGCAGCACAAACGGGAGCAGCAGCAGCAGCAGCAGTTTAGAATACCGGGGTGCCGTGCCGTGGCAAAACTACTATCGTGCCGGCATGGGTTAGTACGCAGCGCACCGTGCAGGACTTTCATATGACGGACTCGTGTTCTCATATGTACTCGGAGGCCCATTTTGCGCCCTGACCCTGAGTGAAAGACTCTGCGCTCGAATATAGGTATAGCATTGACGTTGTTGGCGCTGGGAGCGAAAGCATGTATTGACTGGCGCTGTGTTTCGTATGCTGGTCTATGAAAGCTCGGGAGAACGGGACGGACGGTGTGGGGAAAATTGCAACGCAAGGCCAACAGCTTGTGGCCTCGCCAAGAGTTTGAATCAGGCTTGGTTTTGTGGCTGATGTTTGGATTGGTAGGGCCGTGGGTGGCAGGGGCGTGGCGGGAGTATGATGGTCTGTGCACATGTCCACATTGCATCCCCCTTTCCCATTGCCACCCCTGGTATGTGGCGCGAATGCTGCGCTGAGATTATGCGATTACCGCCAGATCGGATTGGTGTGGGTTCTTGCATAGCAGCCCGAAAGGTCTCTTGCCTGTCTCTCTCTCTCCCGTGCATTTGCCGCTATCCAGCTCAGGTTGGTGGAGAAGAATGCGCTGGCAGTGATGCCGTGATGTGCTCTGGCGCCCCGCTTCCCGGGCAGCGTGCGATGTCAATGGGTTGCGTGGATAAATGGGATTGTGTGTATGTGTATGTGTCGTGTCGTTATCAACGCTGCTGCTTGGGCGGGTGTAGACATTGGTGAGGCGGGTGATGGCGCGGCCTATGCGATGCGCGCCTCTCATGCATGTCTCTTCTGGGCAGGCGGTCTTGACGACGGGCAGACAACTCTGTGTATGGGTCGCGCGGCGTGGCGGGGCTTATGCCTCATCTGACTTTGACACATTCTTAGGGTGCGTGCGACAGCCGACGAGCCGAGAGTAAGTAGTCTGTGGTGGGAAATGGAGCTGGTAGTGGACGGTGGCAGGCAAGCAGGCGCGGCTTGGGGGCGTCCATGGATGTTGTGTAGGGTTTTCGGCATTACGCTGACGCCCTGCAGATAGTACGATATCTCGAGCGAGTAGTTACGTGGTATGCGCGTTCACAGCACTTGCCCGCGCGTGTATCGATTAGCTTTGGTCTCAGGCTTTTTTGGCTTGGTTGTAACTAGGCGGGACTAGACAGCTGGACTGAGCTGCGTGTTGACAGGGAGACCATCGGAATAGTGTATATTTGTGCGAGAGAGGACTGTTAAGGTCCCGGGGCGCTACGTCGCGGCAGCTCCGGAGCAGCAATCACAATTGACTTTTAGTGGATTTGCGTGAGAATTGCTCAAATGCTGACTTGTAACATGTAACTTCCCTGCCTTAGCATGTTCTGCGTCCCGCTCGGTGTGCGTGGCTCAAGGGTGGCCTGTATCAAAGGCTGGTGCGGCGAAGTAAAACCTCTCAGTGCAGACCTGACCTTAGGCCTTACTTAGTTCTCCTGGTAAGTAAGGCCTGAGGTCCGGCATGTTCTTAGAGATGTTTAATGGTCTGGATTTATACATCCCAGCTGCAGTCTGCAAGGGTTCATGCCCGAACCCGGACGCCATAAGTAGGAAAGTCCTTTGGGTCCGCCGGTCTCACGGGTGCCTGGACGGGACAACAGGTTAACCTGGCTGCCTGCACATCTAAATAAAATTTCCTACAACGGTGATGTGCTTTGAGGTCTACCTAAAGCTGTGATCTGGAGTTAGGCGCCATGTCACTTCCCGTATAGAAGGGACAAAGTTTCGGAGCGCAATATAGTCGCATAAGGCTGAAAGATGCCACTAATACCTGTAAATAGTATTTCGCGGTAATATTTGTTTGCAAACTCTTCCAGTTGCAGTGTTAACTTGCATTCTTCCAAGACACCGGAATCTGAACACCTTGAAACGCTGACAAATTGTTCTTGCATCTTTAATGTTAATTTGACTTATCGCTCAGTTTCTTAAACCGGTGTACCAGACAAGCATTGTCTGTATTATCGTGCGTGATAAACGTCATCGACACTTCACTATGAACGTCAAGCACACCCTTCATACGCTATTCAAGTCAGCTGTGGAGAAAGTTGCACCGCCTCTATCTAAGAGCCAGTTTGAGGAGAAGAGGGTACGCGATTGCCCTTTCACTAAAACCCTTGTTGGCCGGTCCAAAGCGGAATCGGACCCGACCTCCGTAGGTCCTGACGCCGGAGGAGTTTGTTGCTGCTGGTGACTACCTTGTCCATGCGTGCCCAACGTGGTCGTGGTAAGTCTAATTGCAAGCATCTCCAGGCCGTCCAAGCTGCCATCGCGTTAAGCTTCCTGCCGAAACAAAACGCGCGGAACACCCCTCTTTTCGCCCCTGCGACGGCCATCGGGAAGACGCATATTGTTATATGAGAGCTTCCTTTGTCACTGGCTATTGTTGCTGCTTATCCTGATTGCTTCAGGGAGGGTGGCGACCCCAAGAAACGCAAGTCCTACTTATCGGCCGAGAAGCAGTTTCTGGTAACACGGAACGGTGGGTGATGACCAGGCCTGAGTTAACACGGGGTGAACTCGGCGACCCATTCCCAAATCATCAAACGGGCTGGCTAGTTTGCTTCCTCTCCCATTTAACCAATCACCACATCACCGCGCTTCGATCCATATCACAGTACTTCACGTTCCGCCACCTCCGCTCCGTCAGTTGCGCCATACACGGTATCTCCTTCCTAAACCTCCAAATACCCCCCCGGGCCCCCTCCCCATACACACACGCACACGCGCATACACACACACACGCCATCATTTCCGCCACTCCCTCATGAGCTTCTCATCCCCAATGCCCCCCGCTCCCCCACACGCTCCCCACTACCCCCGCCAACCCCTTTCCCCCCCAAGTCCCCTGCCTCCGCCGCGCCACCGACGTGGCGGGAGGCAGCAGCTACAACCCCATGTCGGAGTTCGCCCTGCCCGGGGAGGAGGGCTGGGTGGCCACACACATACAGCCCACTCCAGGGGGGGCCGGGACAGGCCCGGGGGGGGACGCGGATATTCCCTCCATGGACGACGACGAGGACAGCCCCCTCCAGGCGGGACCGGCTGCGGCAGCTGCTGGCGCTGATGCTGGTGGTGGTGGTGGTGGTGGTGGTGGCGGCAAAGAGAGGGAGAAGGAGAAGGACGGGGAGGGGGATATTCCGGATATTGGAGATCTGGAGCTCAATGAAGGGGATGATGAGGTATGGAGATGGTACGACATGGGCTGGGGAGGGATCGGAAGGGGGGTTTGGGCTTGGGGAGGTTGGGAAGGATGGCACCGAGGGGACTTGGAATGAATCAGTGGAGGCCCAAGGGGGGGGGCCTAGTAAACACAAAAACACACACGCTGGATAGGTTCTGCTGTCATCGTGGCATCACGAGGCAGGTCTGGGCGTCTTCTCGGTTAGCTGTCTGCCTGTCTGCTCGGGGGGTTTGAGAGGTGTGGCATTTCAAGGGGGGGAAGGGGGTGCACGTATATACGTGTTTTGGGTGGTCCAGGGGTAGGGGCTGTGGAGGGGGTTGAGAAGGGGGGAGGGGGGGGGGGGGGGGAGGAATGAAGAGGGGGCGAAAGTGAGGTTCGAGGCATTGAGGGAAGAGGGGGGCTCACGCTGGGAGATGTGCGTGTGTGTGGGATGTGTGTGTGGGGGGGGGAAAGGGGGGGGCCTTGGGGAAAGCAAATTATTCCTAAACACTTTATGCCCCTTCCGTCCATATCTCCACTATTTTCCCCCAAAACACATACACACACAGGCAGCAGCTCCCAGCGCTTCCGCTGCCGGGTACCTCCGCGCCGAGGAACCCGCGGATAACATTGTACGGACACGCACGTACGACCTTTACATCACGTACGACCAGTACTACCAGGTACGGCGAAGGATTGAACCCGACACAGGTTGTGGCTTGGGTGGGCCCCGAGCAAACGGCGCTTAGAAGAATTCCCCCCGCCCCCCCCTCCCTCCCTCGTCTACGTCTGGTACGCTCTTGCCCTGGCAGCAGCTTCACTCGTTTGTGGTTCGTCTTTCCCCACCCTCCCTCCCTCACGCCCTCCCTCACGCCCTCCCTCACGCCCTCCCTCACCCAGGGGGGGGGTACAGTCGAGTATTTTTGAAATTCAATACGTTGTCTATTTCACATTATCCAAATCCGAGACCCAAATCCGTCTTCTTTCTCTCCGCGGCTCTCTCTTCCCCCGGGTTAACATCTTGGGTTTTGTCCTACATTCTTGGTTGGTTTAGTGTTGGAGCATCCGTCTTGTGGTATTTTCTTTTCGTCAGTTTGTCTGTCTGTCGTTGGTCGTACGCCCCCTTTCAAAGCACGAAGGGGTTTGTTGTGTGTGACTGGCAGGGTTCGTTCGTCCACACATGTACTACTACTGATTCATTCATTCTTCCATCCCCTCTACCACCCCAAGGCCGACCTCCAGGCCGCTCCCTCCCCCCCCCGCACCTGCCGTACACGCGCGTTTACGGCACGTAGTGGTAGTTTTTTTTTTAAAACACGGCACCTGTCTAACCCCCAATACGCTGACCCCCGCAGGTCCCACGCTTTTGGCTTGTGGGGTTTGATGAGTCTCGGAAGCCCCTGCTGCCGCACCAGGTGAGTGTGTGCGTGGGGGTGCGTGTCGGTGTGTTTTGGGGGAGGGGGGGAGGGGGGTGAAAGCGGGAGGGGCCAGCGAGGGGGAAGTTTTGCGTTGACTGTTTTGCTTTGTCAGGGTTATATACAGGTTGTTGGGATGCTTAGTTGGTAGTTGGGTTGTTGGTGGCGCTCGTTGCTGCACACACACACACACACACACACACATGCGAAGGGCATCGGTGTGAGTGCATTAGTAGACCGCGCAGCTGTGGAGCATGCGCTTTCGGTGGAACGGAGGTTGCTTGGTGTGTATGTTGCTGGTGTGTATGTTGCTGGCTAGAGGATTCGAACAGGTGACGGCATCTTGCGTTGATTGATAAGGGAGAACGGTCAGGACTCTGTCCGATATAGCGCCCCTCCCTTGGCGGTCGCTCCCGTTGGGGTATTATACGGTTAGGAGCCCCTGTCCTGGAGTGTCAGGCCCGGATCGATATGTAACAGTTACATACGCACATACAGACAGACAGACAGACAGACAGACAGAGATACAGACAGACAGACAGACACAGACACCATCTTCTCACCCTTTCCCTTGAAGGTATTCCTGGATGACGGTATGCATATATGTATGTATGTATGTACGTCCGTACATGATTAGGTTATGGAGGATGTGTCCGAGGAGCACGCCCGCAAGACCATCACCCTGGACCCGCACCCGCACCTGCCGGGGCTATCCGCCGCGTCCATCCACCCCTGCCGCCACGCCGAGACCATGAAGCGCCTGGCCGATAAGCTGGTGGAGGGGGGCAGGGACTTTAGGGTGGACTTGTGAGTGCCTAGAACGTGTGTGTATGTGCGTGTGTATGTGCGTGTGTATGTGCGTGTGTATGTGCGTGTGTATGTGCGTGTGTGTGCGTGTGTATGTGCGTGTGTGTGTGCGTGTGTGTGCGTGTGTATGTGCGTGTGTATGTGTGTATGTGCGTGTGTGTGCGTGTGTATGTGCGTGTGTGTGTGCGTGTGTATGTGCGTGTGTATGTGCGTGTGTATGTGCGTATGTGCGTGTGTATGTGCGTGTGTATGTGCGTATGTGCGTGTGTATGTGCGTGTGTATATGCGTGTGCGTGTGTATGTGCGTGTGTATGTGCGTGTGTGTGCGTGTGTGTGTGTGCGTGTGTATGTGCGTGTGTATGTGTGTATGTGCGTGTGTATGTGCGTGTGTATGTGTATGTGCGTGTGTATGTGCGTGTGTGTGTGCGTGTGTATGTGCGTGTGTGTGTGCGTGCGTACGTGTGCGTGTGTATGTGCGTGTGTATGTGCGT